GGGGGGGGGGGGGGGGGGGGGGGGGGGGAGATGGAGGGGGTAGAAGTATTATTCCAACCGAAGGAAACATTAATTAACGTTATCCCTTTTCCAGACACTGCACTAGATTCTTTCACATACAATATTTCAGTTAACCCCTAAACAATCCTGTGAGATAGGCATCATTATATCCACTTTATAAATGACAAAACTGAGTCTCAGCAAGTTAGTAATTTATTCAGGTCTATGGTGACTTTTTGTCCAAAAATTTCCATTCCAAATATTCTGTCTTCTCCACACCCACTCTAGTGTTGTAGAGATCATATATTTTGAGTTTCCAAACAATGTGCGAAACTGGTTCATACCAGGCAGCAGCACACAAATCAATGTCATTAAGACGGTAAAGTCATATAGCTGCTAAGTAACAGAACAAATACTGTAATCCAGGTATTTTAATACCAGCTTCATGGCTCTTTCTACTATACTACAGCTGCATCCCAATCAGATACTGAGATTAGGGAAACAGACAGAGCCATACTTTAATTTAGGATGAGCATTATATTAGCACTATAGCAGATAAACAAAGTATTTAGGGTGTATGAGAAAAGGAGAAATTAGTTCCATAAGAACAGATAAAACCATTCTCATCAAGGAGCTTATTAAAGTTAAAAATTTTTCATTGTGTTAAAATCTTGATTATTTAGGAACTTTAAAAATAAGTCGTAACACTATCAATAAGCAACAAAATCTAGATTTTTGTAGTATAGAGCACTTTATCTACTAGCCAGAAATTCTAATAACAGGTGGAACCTTAAAATGTTTCATAATAGCCTTCTGGCAAGACATGTATGATGTATCTTTGCTTTTCTTGGGTGTTAATAAATGTGTCATATATCAACTGTGGGAGTGAAAAACCTTAGACTTAAGATCAAATTCAGTATTCTGTACCAGTTCTTCTATTTCAAGAATCACCTCCCCCCCTAAAAAAACCCATAGATTAGACTAACAATTTTCAAATATCCTATTTTATCCATAAAGTTCCACTAAGTCAATGTCTAGAGAAAAAGATACTCCCCTGATGACTGATTAAATGTAGTTTCTCCTTTATTCCACTCAAGATTAGGCTAGAAAGGGATATTTGAAAGAGAGAAAGGAAAGGGAGTAAGGGGTGGGCTTTGTGACAAGTGCAAATAACGTACTGGAACTATGGTAAAAATGAGGAAATGATGGCTGGGGGGGAATGGGAAGGAAGGAAAGAGATGAGGAAATTCTACTGTTAAAATGGAAAGAGACCCCTGACATTTAGTCAGATGCCAAAAGGACAAAGCAGTTCAGGAAAGTGCTATATTTGGCTAAACGCACAAGTATATTCAAATCTGCTCATCCGTTTTCTTGCACATACATTGTGCTGAAAAGGCATATGTAATTCCAAAGGTAATTTGTTTTGCTGAACCATAGGAGAATTTGGAATTGAGCATGCTGAGAAAAACACATTTTGTTTATCCATTGTCAGTAAACACAAGAAACACCATGGTTTCTAAATGATACTTAGCATTGAGAATAGTAAATCAAGGAGTGGATAGAGAAGAAAACAGGCCATTTAACATTCTATCTGATGTGCTATGCAGGGCATGGGAGTAATTCTGCCATCTAAGGGATGGGGGCCTGAGGCATGAGGTTACAGGTTTAACGAGCTGAGAGGATTTCAACCTTAAAACAGCTGAAAAGAATTGTACCTTTTTAAAAACAGCTTTATCTATTTATTAAAGCATACAATTTAGTGATTTTAGTAAATTTACAGAATTGTGCAACTATCACTACACACTAATTTTAGAACATTTCCATCACTTCCAAAAGAAATCTCTGTCCCATTTTCAGTTGCTCCTCATTCTCACCCTCAACCCTAGGTAACCATTAATCTACTCTCTGCTTCTATAGATTTCTTCAATGGGCACTTCAAATAAATTGGTTCATACGATATGTGGTCTTTTGTCCCTAGCTTCTTTCACTTAGTATAATATTTTTCAGTTTTGTTCATGTTGTGTTATGTATCAGTACTCCATTCCTTTTAATTGATGAGTAGTATTCCATTTTTGCAGTATATCACATTTTGTTTATCTATTTACTAGCCGATGACATTTGGGTTGTTTCCACCTTTTAGGTATTATAAAAATGCTGCTATAATCATGGGTCTGTTTGAGTATATGTTTTAATTTCTCTTGGATAGATACCTATGAGTGGATTTCTGGGTCACATGGTAAGACTATGTTGAAACTAAGAAACTGCCAAACTGTTTTTCCAAGGTGGCTCCATCAGTCCACGAGCAATGTATGTGGGTTCCATTTTCTCCATATCCTCTCCAGCACTTGTTGTTGTCTGTCTTTTTGATTAATGCTATTCTCGTGGGTGTGCATTGTGGTTTTACTTTGTATTTTACTAATGACAAATGATTTTGACCATTTTTTTCATGTGCCTGTTTTCCATTTATATATCTTTGATAAAATGTCTCTTCAAATCTTTTGCATTTTTTAAATCAAGCTTTTTTTCAGAGAAATGTAGATTCATATGTAGTTGTAAAAAATAATAGAGAGCTTCTGTTTAGTGTTTACTCAGTATCCCACAATAGCAACATCTTGCATAATTATAGTACACTATCACAACCACAGCATTAGTATTTACACACTCCATCTATCTTATTCAGATTTCTGGTAATACATGTACTCATTGTATGTGTGTATGCTTGTGTGCGTGCATTTAGTTCTATGCATTTTATCATAGTTTATGTTCTTATAACCACAGTCGTAGATGCAGAACAATTACGTCACCACAAGGATCCCTCCTGTTATACTTTTATAGCAATCCCTACCCTCCTCCCTACCCTCTAGCAACCGTTCATCTGTTTACAATCAATAGTTGTTGTCATTTCAAGAGTGTTACGTAAATTGTGTCATACTGTATGTGACCTTTGAGGATTGACTTAGCAAACTTATCCTGAGAATCATCCAAGTTATTGTGTGTATCAATGGTTTATTCCTTTTTATTGCTGTGTAGTATTCCACAGTATAAATATACCACAGTTTGTTTACCTATTCATCCACTGAAAGACATCTGGGTTGTTTCCAGGTTTTGTTGTTATGAATAAAACTGCTATGAACACTTGTGTATAGCTTTTTTGTCCGTTTAAAAATTGGGTTATTTGTCTTCTTAGCTTATAAGTGTCCTTTATGTATCCTGGATAGAAGTCCTTTATTGGATATATAGTGTACAAATATTTTGTCCTAGTCTTTGGCTTATCTTTTCACATTGTTAATGGTGACTTTTGAACTGAAAAAGTTTTTAATTTAAATGAAATCCAATTTATCAATTTTCTTTTATTGCTTGTGCTTTGATGATATATGTAAGAAACTTTTGCCTAACCCAGTATCACAAAGATTTGCTCTTATGTTTTCTTCTAAGAGCTTTATAGTTTCAACTCTTACATTTAGGTCTGTGATCCATTTTGAGTTAATTTTTGTGTATGGTATTAAGTAAGGGTCTAAATTTATGTTTTTGCACTGTGGCTATTAAATTATCCTAGCACTGTTTGTTGAAGACTGTCCTTTTTTTTCTTTTTTTAGTTTTATTTTATTTTGTCAATATACAATGTGACTGATTATTGCAGTCTGTTACCAAAACCTCCCTCCCTCCTCCCTCTTCCCCCTCCCTCCCAACAATGTCCTTTCTGTTGTTTGTCGTATCAACTTCAAGGAATTGTAATTGTTATGTCTTCTTCCCTCGAAGACTGTCCTTTTTCTGTTGAATTGCCTTGGCAACTTTCTTGAAAATCAACTGAACCATGAGTATATGGGTTTATTTTGAGACTCTTAATTCTATTCAATTTTTTTTTATATGTCTATCTTCAGCCCAGTACCACACCATCTTGAATAT